CCAGAACTTGTGGCCTAGCAAAGGAACTCTGGAACAGATATGACAGTGAACTATCCTAGACCAGAAACATGGCAGGCCCACAGAAAAACTTCCAGCAGCACCAACACCAGCCCTAAAGAGCCACAATGTTCAATTCTGCCAGGGCTCAGCCAATTCTACCCACCACACCCTGCACTCACATTCATCTGCTTGCTCTCCGTCTCTTAACTACTGCTTTTTGCCCCCAAAAGCAGTATAGTAGCCGAGACAGACCTTACAGTTCATAAAAGTCAACATTATTTATCTGCTCATAGGAAAACGTGACCTTCCCTGTACTAGCTCTCTGACCCACATCAATCAGCAGGTTTGTTCATTTGCCCTAGTCAGAAAGTTCACCACTAGGAATGTGATACCAAGGAAAGGACCAAATACAGATTCCTATTTTACAGGCACATAAAACCGTTCACAGCTGTTATGGAATAACCTTTTTGTACACTGTGAAGACGTGTTTTTGCCAAGGACTGGCCAGTATCTAGGCAGGACAGCAAGACACAGAGGATGCTAGGAGGAGGATAGGCAGAGTCTAGAGAGTATTGAGGAACAGCAGAAGAGAGAAGCAAGACGAACATGCCATGTTGAAAGAAGGTACCACCCATGGCAGAGGGTAGATAAGAAACATGGATTAATTTGGGCTGGAGAGATGGCTCAGTGGTTAAGAGCACTGACTGCTCTTCCAGAGGTCCTGAGTTCAATTCCCAGCAACCACATGGTGGCTCACAACCATCCATTATGAGATCTGGGGCCCTCTTCTGGTGTGCAGATATACATGGAAGCAGAATGTTGTATACATAATAAATAAATAAAGTCTTAAAAAAAAAAAAAGTTCACACTGAAATTCACTAAATGGGATGGGGTGGCACCCGCCTTTAACCCAGCACTCTGAAGGCAAAGGCAGGTAGGCCACTGTGAGTTCAAGGCCAGGTCTACACAGAGAGAGTTTCAGGACTACACATTGAAACTGTCTTGGGGAAGAAAAGAGAAAATAAATTCACTGAGTGATGTTGGCTACACTGTATTTTACAGTGCTTTGTAGATGACCCTCTGCTTTTTGGCAGGTTAAGAGTCTACCCTATGTGACAAGGCATCCCTGACACCCCCCCCCATATGCTTATGGCATAAAGGCAAAACAGAGTCTGCTCACGGAGCAAAGGGGTGAAGATAAAGGAGACCTGTATGCACAATCATACCACAAAACCTTTTAAGCTCTGAAAAATTGAGTATGTGAATACCTTGCTCATCTTTAAATTTCCAATTTCAGCTCTGGCAGCTGACTCACTGGGGCCCTACCAGTCTCCAAGTGTCACACAGAGTCCCTGGCCCACTCACCTGTAGCCTTCTTTGGCATCCTCCAGTGCCAGCTGCTTGAACTCCTCATACATCTTTTTATTGAAGTGATCCCGGAGGAAGAAGGACCAAAAGCGGAAAAGGGTATTCATCTCCTGAGACTGGCCAATGCCCAAGCGCTTCCGCTCTGATGGGAAAGACAGGAGAGGAGAAAGTCAAGCCAGACTGCCCTTTGTTCACTCAGAGCTTAGTCTGCAGGCCTTGCTAGGCAGCATTGGTCTCTGACCTGGCCATCTGTCTAGCTGAGTCTTACTTGCTATCACTTAGAGCAGTGGTTGTCAACCTCCCTCATGCGGCAACCCTTTAATACAGTCCCTCATGTTGTGGTGACCCCCATCATAAAAAATTATTTCACAACTATCACTTTGCTAATGTTGTGAATTGTAATGTGAATATACATATGTGCATATACACATAAAAGTATACACATAGAAGAGATGGCTCAGCAGTTAAAAGCATGGCTCTTCTTGCAGAGGACCTAGGTCTGGTTCCCAGCACCCACATGGTGGCTCACTACATCTGTAATTCCAAGAGGTTCAACACCCTCTTCTGGTCTCCAAGGGTACCAGGCATGAACATGGTACACAGACATACACATGTATAAAATACTTATATACATAAAATATAGAACTTGGGAGGAGGAGGCAGCAGTTCAAGGCCAGACTTGACTAAAGAAAGTTAAAGGGTAGCCTGAACTACATGCACAGGCAGATACCTGAAGCTTACCAGGCAGCTAGGATACCAAATCTACGAGCTCCAGGTTCAAGTGAAACCCTGCCTCAAAAATAGGTGGATGCTGACTCAAAATATATTTAAAGGGACACACACACACACACACACACACACACACACACACACACACACCCTACACATCATGTGTAGCAAAAAATAAATTCCTACCAAAGAGTGATCTGACAATAAAGCCAGATAAAAAAGGATCCGAACAAACATTAAAATCAAAGACAAGGTGAAACAGAACTTCTTTTTTTCTTGTTTTTCGAGACAGGGTTTCACAGGGTTTCACTGTGGCTTTGGAGCCTATCCTGACACTCGCTCTGTAGACCAGGCTGGCCTCGAACTCACAGAGATCTGCCTGCCTCTGCCTCCCAAGTGCTGGGATTAAAGGCATGCACCACCAATGCCCGGCGGCGAAGCAGAAGAGATGCTGCCTTATACCTTTTTAATTTTTGGTTTTTTGAGACAGGGTTTCTCAGTGTAGCTTTGGAGCCTGTCTCTGTAGACCAGGAAGGCCTCAAACTCAAAGAGATCCGCCTGCCTCTGTCTCCCAAGTGCTGGAATTAAAGGTGTGTGTTACCACCACCCAGCTTACATGTTCTTATGGGATCCCATGCTCAGGTTAGGGACTCTGGTGGTTTGAATGCGAATGATCCCCAAAAACTCACTTTTTTTTTGGGGGGGGGGGCGGACGGTATTGTTCTTCTTTTTTTCCTTTGATTTTATTTATTTATTTTTATTTATTATGTATACAGTCTTCTGCCTGCATGCCAGCAGAGGGCACCAGATCTCATTCAAGGAGGTTGTAAGCCACCATGTAAAACTCACATGTTTGAATACTTAGTCCCCAGTTGGTGGAACTGTTTGGGAAGGATTAGGAAATGTGACCTTGTTGGAGGAGAGGTCTCACTGTGGACTGACTTTGAGGTTTTCAAAGCCCACCCCACTCACAGTTACCTCTTGCTTGTTTTCTGCTTCTCCCTGCTGATAAGGATGTAAGCCCTCAGCTACTGCTCCAGCACCATACCTTCTGCCCTGCCTGCCGTTGGGCATCCTGCCATGATGGTCATGGGTTCACCTTCTGAAACTGTAAGCCCCCCAAATAAACTCTTCTTGCTATAAGTCACCTTGGTTGTGATGTCTCATCACAGTAATAGAAAGGTTATTAAGGGGGGCTGGAGAGATGGCTCAGAGGCTAAGAACATTGGCTGCTCTTCCAGAGGTCCTGAGTTCAATTCCCAGCAACCACATGGTGGCTCACAACCATCCGTAATGAGATTTGGGGCCCTTTTCTGGAGTACAGATATACATGGAAACAGAATGTTATATACATAATAAATAAAATCTTTAAAAAAAAAAAAAGAAAGAAAAGTTACTAAAGACAGGGAGGGACGAAGCACAGTGCCACCTCAATAGGAAACTTCCTCCAAAGGTTAACACTGTTCAAAGTTTGTATTGTACACACCACATAAATTGTGTGTTGTACTTTCTCCCACCCACTCACTCCCAGAGTAAGGAAATACTGAGCAGGTACCAAAGTCATTATTTGGTAACAGACTAATCTGCATATCCTCATATCACCTGTCAAAACCTTACACCTTTAAGGTATCTCATGTGACCAGATATTCTACCAAGGCCCTCTCCTTCTACCATCTTCCAGAGCAAGGCCAGTAACTGGGTTCACTACAAAGGGGTCATAGAATAAGCATTCAGGCTTTGTAGGTGACATAAAGTCTGGCCGTTACTTTTTCTTCTCTACCTACAACTGCTTCAAAGAAAAGTTGTCTGGGTTCCAGAGCCACTCAACAGCAACCTGAGCTAACATGGACCCAAATCTTTACCTAGAAAGTCCTGCTCAGTCTCAGCCCAACCCGAAAAGCCTTGTCTGGGGCACACTGGCAACAGCTAACACAGCAATGTTGCCAGAAATAAGCAAAACCTGACATTTCCTATACCGATGGATAAGACAGAGAAGAGTTAGAATATTCTGGGTACTATAGTTCCTTAACTTCTAGCATTTAATAACCATCTCAGGGGCTGGAGAGATGGCTCAAAGGTTAAGAGCACTGGCTGCTCTTCCAGAGGTCCTGAGTTCGATTCCTAGCAACCACATGGTGGCTCACAACCATCTATAATGAGATCTGGTGCCCTAACACTGTATACATAATAAATCTTAAAGAAAAAAAAAAAATCGCTGGGCATTGGTGGCGCACGCCTTTAATCCCAGCACTCGGGAGGCAGAGGCAGGTGGATCTCTGTGAGTTCAAGA